AGAGAGAGAGAGAGAGAGAGAGAGAGAGAAGTCGGAGGCGTGCATAAACCTTGACAGAGACAGGTGGAGCGCTACTAGGTTTGGAGACCTTAAAAGCGACAAGACACGAGCCGCTTCGGAGTTATCTCCCTGACGTCTTGCCGAGCTCGAGGCTCGTCAAGGGTAAACCAACTCCATGAATTAATTAGTCGGCAAACGACGGTGAGGGCAAGGAGCTCTGGCTACTCGCGCGGAGGCACGAAAGGCTCCAAGCGCTTCTTAAGTTGGCGTGCAAACCAGGTCTCTGCCTGAGGAAAGGCTGGCTGGCCGAAGAAAAGGCGAGCCGAGCCGGCCGTGTTTGTGAATTGGCTAAACGAGACAAATAAACCGGCGAGCCGAGCAACCGTGAACCGTCGAGTTTAGACAATGGTGCTTTAACTGCGGAATTCATGAATCGTCGATGACTTCGTTCCACGAATTTCCACGGCAGCCATTCACTGTAATGAACGCTCCCGTGAGGGAGAGACGTCCGGTTAATCGTCATTGAATAATCCTTATTGATGTTTTACTTTCGACGATACGCGGAGAGGAGGACTACGAAGGATCATTATTAATCTATTCGATGCGGGGTTAAATCTGTTAATTTATATTCAAGAGCGAGCGAGTACAGCACGTGCAACAAAGTATTACGAACAAGTATTGTGGTCTTAAATAATGTAATATTAAGGAAACGATTTTTAAATTACGAATTATGTTATTGATTCAAGTATGATGAATAAATATATATAGAGTTATTTATTAATTATATTAATAAGTATAATGGAATATATGAAATTTACAAATGATCATAGACTTTCGAACACACTTGACGATATGTAATTCATTCAAATTTCGAGAAGATCATGATTAGTACAACCTTTTGCAGTATAAATGAATTATATTATAGATTCAATATTAACGGGTATAATAGAAAATGAAATTTATAAACACTCTAGACGATATAGTCTATAATTCATTTAAATTTTCGAAAAGATTATGATAACTTCTACTTATTATACAGCAATGTAATGAGGTTAGAACTTAGAAAATTGTTAAAACAGAAATAGGCAATCTTTCTAAAAATCAACCTCAGGATGTGTTATTATTTAGTTTCGAAAGATTCGAAACATAGCGTGAAATATCAAAAGTGAAACACGAACGTTTACTATGTTACAAACGTGTCGTTGCGTAGTGTAGAACTAAGAAATTGCACGAGAGTGCAACAAGCTCACAGTTGATCAACTGAATCGTCGTAAAACAAATATAATGGCAGCTAAACGAAAATCGTAGATAGTTTGCTGTGCGCAGTAGAACGTTCCGCGAATGTAACTGACGAAAGTTGGAAACGTCAACGTCGCGGAAGCCGAGCCACGCGGCTCGAGAGACGGGCGAGTAAACGGAGCAGTGACGTTTATTGGAAGTCGGAGTTACGTGATCCCCGAAGATCAAACGACGATGAATAACCTCGCCGTTTCGTATCACGGTGCAGCGCCGATAGCATCTGATTTCGCGGATCGAAGGAAAAGAAGACGAAAAAGAAGGGGGGAAAAAAGAAACGTCCACGCGCGAGAGACGAAGACAGATACATAAACATAAATCTAGAAAATGAGCAAGAGAGAGAGAGAGTGAGGAGGGAGGGGGAGATGGATGGAACGTACATGCGGAAAACAGTCGGAAAGATAAAGGAAGTTAGGAGAGTGTGTGCTCGACCTGGATATCCGAGACGCGGGCCAAAGTTTTCGAGAGCTCGATCCGACCGGCACCCCTGGGAATCGAGCTCCACACGCGTGTACGATGTTGGACTCTCTCTCTCTCTTTCTTTTGCCTAGAGAGATTCTCTCATAATATTTCTTGAAATTCTCTCCAAAATTCCGCGGAGGGAAATTTTCTCGCACTCACCCTTTCTATGAAATACCCTATCCTGTACAAACAGCGATCGCGGGGATTTATGAAGAGAGAGAGAGAGAGAGAGAGTTTCCATCCACCAGTTTCGGGGAAAATCGTTCGCTCGACCGCCATTTGTCAACGGGGAAGATCCCCTCGTTCTCGTGGTTTACAATTACGCGAGACGAATCGATTTCGGGTAGCTTGCGCCGCGGAAAAATAATTGCAGCTTTATCCGTACGCGAAAATTGACGCGTCCCCCTCGATACACGGTTGCGCCGCGAACTCCTTTTTTCCCTGGGAATCGGCGGAACCGATTGAAAAGCCACCGGCTGCGCCGAAATGGTATCGAGTTGGTCAACACCGACGGAAAAATTGATTACTTCTCTGTCCGGCGGCGGTCCGGCGACTGGGTCGATCGAAGGCTTAATACCTTTCTCGATACTCGTCAACCGGTTGACCAAGCCGCCGCGGCGATAATACCGCCGCCAGATATCAGTGACAATTTATCCAATGAACACATCCTGTTATCTGCGCCACACTCCGCCGGACTCCTCCTCCGAGTCAGCCAACCGGGTAATAGCTGAATCAAGTATCGCTTCTCTCTCTCTCTCTCGTTTCGTTCTCTGCACGGCCCCACGTACTCGATGCGTTTGCACGTGATAAACCGAGAGCGAGCTGCCGTTTTCTGTCTTCAAAGAAGCCGAACACTGCCGTTTGCACTGGGAATCTCCGTTGCGCAGGGAACGACAGCTCGTATTATTCCAATTTTTCGCTCAGTTGCTCCGATGAATCGTGAAAGGTACAGTAGGTACGGTAGATAGCGGACAGACAGAAAAAGCGAGAGGAAAGTACTCGATTGATGAAATGTTTTTTTTTTTTCTACCTAACCGACCGTTTTTCCGAAATTAAATTGCATTACGGATGAAGATTGAGACGATTTAGTGTTTGGGAATGAATGTGAAATAGAATTTCCATATTTCAGAACTTAAGAGTCACATC